CCCGCGGCTGGCAGCAGGCCCAGGCTCACCTGCCCACCGTACCCCTGTGCGGAACAGAACTTCACGCAGGCGGTAGGATTTGGCAATCTTTATATCCACAGCACATCATCACCATGCACAAAAATCGAGCGATGGGTGTATTTACAAAGCGAATTGCACTGGACACAGGAACCAGGAGTAAGAGTGACTGAAAGGAACCTCTCTTCTGGGTTGCGGAAAGGTCCGCTGCTATTTATAGCCTACGAAGCCCAACAGACAACGCTACCGTGCATGATCTGACCAGTCTAAAATAAGAATTACTGTTATTTATTGAAACAGTGCAGCCCTGGAGATACTCTTTTCATGGAAACGTTCCATTAATCACCATTCAAACTGTATTATCTATTAAGACTCTATGAAGAGTCCGCAAGTCAAGAGAATCCAACCTCAGCCCTGACTCCCTGTATTTTACTTAAAGGACAGCTAGTCTTCACCTCCAATTGCCTGATTTTTCTTTTCTTACTTGAATTTCAGACCCCTACCTTTAAAAGTGTTTTTCCTAGGTTTTTTTTTTTTTTTTTTAATGCAGGAAAAAGGCCTCCCTAGGTGACTGAGTCACTTCATTAGGAGCTTTTTTCTTCTACAGAGTCCAGCACCTCTAAGCAAGTTCTTCCTTCATGCTCGGAAGGGAAATGATCACCAAGCACAGGTAAGACTCCACCATTAACAGCCCACAAACAGATGACATCCACAACTTCTGGAGCAGTACAGCATGCAGGAATCAAAGTGTCAGGAAGTGAAAATACCTACTGTACATTTTTCCAAGCAGCTTTTGGTAAGTGACCTGCTCAAACAAAAGGCACAGACCAATCCTTACCATCCTGGCATGTCCAGCTGAGAGAGCTCTCCTGTTTGCACAAGAATTGCCCATTACCAGCCCTTCCTCATACTATGGGGTCATTACAAGTGACCTAACAGCACAGCACCCGAACAGAGGGGATCTCTAGGATGCAGCAGTCTTTGTACTGCTTCGAACCTGCTAGAAGCGCTGAGGAGCAGCCACGGGGGAAAGAGGGGATCATAGCGCCTTTTCCTTCTACCAGATTTTTATGGTCTCTGCAGCACACCCAAAAATCTTGGTAACAAAGTAACAAGCAGTCACTCATCAACTGGATTTTTACATTTATACAAGTGTGGAGCTTTAAAACTTTCCTAAGAATCAAACTTTCTTGTCCTGTGCAAGCTATAGGCAAACTCTTGGTGGAGATCCCAGACTTAACTCACCTAGCCTGTAAGCATCTGACTCGACAGGAAGAAAAGAAGTTAGACTGAGGCGGTCTACCCAGTGAATTCATTTTACCAGTTACCTGTTTGTGTGCTCACCACCAAATCACTTTTATGTGTGAATTCTGGCCTTTACTTTCCCCATAATTACAGGACAGTTAGCAGAAAAGACCCCTGCGTAATTCTGCATTGGAGGACCTGTGCTAAGTATCATCGAGAGCCTTCAGCTGGGGTTTGTGTCACTGACACTGGGTGGTAAGCACCCGGTGCTTTTTAGTGTTATTTTTCAATAGTTCAACGGAAGTCATCCTCAACATCCAAGTAAAGCCAGTATAGCACACGTTCCTTCTTTCACAGGCAGCTTGCCTGCCACCAGGAGTTTTGCATAAGCCAAATTCTGCCCTCAAACCTCTTATGACAGATGAGGAGAGCTGGAAACTTTTTTATTTTCCTGACAGTAACACTGAGAGCCACAGAGCCAGCAAAGCTGCAGCATGAAGCAGTCCAGGCCAGGCTACATCTAACTGTTATTTTTCACATCAGGAAAGCACGGTTAAGGAGTCTGGCCTACTGGAGAGCTGCTTTGGATGTCAGACAGCTCTTGAAACAGTTCAAGCTTCCTCAGGATTCCTCCAAGTCTTCCCCTCTGCAATTGCAGTAGCCATCACCAACAGAGGGTTGGGTGTAGCTATAGTTCCTGAAGAGCACACACTGCTTTCAGCAGGGCACCAGCGTTCCCAAGACCAAAAGCACTTTCCCCTCTCTATGCACAGGAAGACGGTTTCGTCAGGCAAAACTGGCCCACTGTCCTGTTCCTGTTGGCACTCATGGCCCTGTGCTTAGTCTAGGCAAAGTCACCTCAAACCCACAGCAGGGCTGCGTCTCTAACTGCCAGGAGAGCAGCACAGCAATCTGGGAAAGAGTCAACACCTAGTCTGATGAACCGAGTGACCACAGCAGATAAAACCACCGCTTAGTTTACAGCGCTCACGTAAGCTATGTGTGTGCACGTGTGCACGCACACACATGCTTCCCACATCTGGTATAGCAAACAGTCCTGCAGCAAAAGGCAGAAGGCCTTTCCACATCACACAACAGATCTCAAACAGCCCAGCCCTCATGGCATGCACAGCGTAGGTCCACGATCCACCTACTCTGAGAGGATTTTGGTCAATGCGCAATGAATTTGTACAAGGTCTCTTCAATACCTCTAAAATTTAACAGCACTTAAGCCCTAGACGTGAACCTTTTGTTGGGACTGTGAGGCAAAGCTTAGAGCCTTCCACAAAGTCAAAGACTAAAGAAAACCTCTTTTAAGAGACAAGGAAGTGACTAAACCACTTCTCAACTTCTTATACCAAGCCAGACTGATTATAGAAACTTCACGTTAAGAACAGGATTTGCAGAGTCAGCACGTTAATACATCACCCTGAACTAGTAAGTCTTCTTAACGACATGATTCTCTCTCGTGCTATTCAACTCATTTCTTTATAAAAAGTTTTGTTCAAAAATTAAGGAGCCCAGCTCCACTAGCGTCCATCTGTTCTTGAACAAACTATTTCAGTATCTCAGAATGTTCCACTGTCTCTGATGGTGTGTTCACCTGCCAGCCTTCTAAATATTGACTGCACATCGCATTCAGGTCTAGGATCACCAAAAAGGAGACTCCTCCAGCTCCCACTGGCTGCACCTTCTCTCAACAGGATGCCATTAAAGGAAATACCAAGTATTGAAAGTGCTTCCCAAACTGGGACACCCTTAGGACAGAACACTGTGATGCCTAAAGAGGAACTCATATCCTCATTCAGGTGAGGTTAGGCTGCAAGCATGCACCCCTTCACCTTGCATGTATCCTCCAAACAAACTTGGAAAGTGGAAGTGCTAGGCATCACGTGCACCCTTTGCTGTGAACTATAGCCCTCTAAGTGCATATAGTACAAAATCAAAGGCATTGGTCTGGAAATCTTACAAAAGAAAAGCCATCAGAGTTAACTGCCCTTAATTTTATTACGTAGCCAGACAGAACAGTTGAGACTGGAATGTCAGATTTCCCCTTCAAGCACAATTCACAGTATCATATTTGCTTTGCATCAGAAAAGAAAAATCAACTCACTAATATGCAGGTAGGATTCATCAAGTGAGGTACAGTCTCAGAATACAGAGCAAAAATTCACTGCAAATGGCTTCACTAGCCTTCAGAGAGCAGCAGACGGTCTCCCTCTTCCTTTAGTTTCACCCAGTATTTGCCTCACCATAACATTCAGCACATACCAGAGGGGATGCAAGTGTACAAGAGCTAGTGAACGAAGAAAAGCCATCCCACAAGCTAGCAAGAGTCTGACTACACGAAGCTGTGATAACGTTCTTCCCATTCAGCAAAACAAAGTAGTATAGTAGCTAGTCCCGCTGATGACAAATCTGTTACATCAGGTGAAGTACAATCATCTGAGAATTACAGTCTGCAGTTCAGTAAAACAGAGTCAGAGAAAAACAACAGGGTAGTAGTTATTATGTGAAATCTTAATATTAACCATTTTAGTAGAGGTCAAGAAGATTATGCACAAGGTCATTAGTGAAAGATAATGAAGAGAAAGTTCAAGATGCTATGGTTCTGCCGAAGTTTTACAAAATGTATAAAGTATTGTGTTTCTCTACAACAACCAAAACCCTTACAAGTGCAGGTATATACATGACATGAAAATATTGCTTCACTCACTCAAACAGGGATAGGAGAGATCTACAGAAAAAGCAGCATGCAAAAGTATCCTGGAACTACAGAAGATCTTGCTTTCAGACACTGATCTACAGTACAAAATAAGCCTACTTGTACAGGTTGCAAAAGGTTTCTGAAATCAATATGCTGGCACTTACTGTACAATAATGTTAACTGATTAACATAAGCCATGAATAAATATTAAGCCACTTCATAAAGCCTGCACAAGCAGCACAGGCATTCATGGTGGCAGAGAAAGCAATGCAGACATATTTCATTGTTCCCAAATAAAACAAGAATAGAGAAAGATTTCCCAAGCAGGAAATGGTAAACTACACAGCCAGACTAAAGGTATTAGGGGTAATTACATAATAAGTAATGTTATTTTCAACAGCTTTCTTGTGTGTGTGCAGCCACTAAAAACCTCACTGTGAGACTTTATCAGGATAGAAAACAGAGCATTTGGTAGGATAGCTATTTTCTTTTAATTTCTCCCCCATGTTTACAGAAACACAAGAAAAAAATATCTGACTATGGGAGGAAAAACCTTGTCACCTAAATGTAGTTATTTCATCGACTGTTATAGTCAAGGCCCCATGGTTTCTCTCCCAGAAAAAAAAAACCCCAAACCATTTGAGGAGAGTGTTTCATGGGATAATATCCAGCAGCAGATGTTCCAACACAAACACGTCTATCAGATCAGCGCCTACATTTCAAACCCAAAAGTCACCACACTGCAGGGGACCCCAGAGGCAGGGGAATGTTTGCCCTACAATTAAAGCTCTAGGATGAAAGGGGGGACTTGGGAATGGGGTAAAGGAGGGAAGAGGGAGTCACTGAATCACAGGAGGTAAGAAGTGCACACAACTTTCTAAATGAAGCACAGACGAAGTGAAGGGCACAGGAGTCATCTATAGGAGGTCACAGGTTCTGACAGCACTGGAGTTTGTTGGATTTCTGTCCATCGGTGGTTGGTGGGACACTGATGTCGACTACGTTGTTGCCAGGAGACTCATCGTGTGCAGATCGATCTGCAATCTGCTTCTGCGAAACAATGCGGTAGATTTCTGAAACGAGAACAGACTCGTTAGAGCGCAGAAAGACCCTGCCTCCAACAGAGCGCACGCACATGTCAGAGCAACCCGTCCAAGAAGATGCTAGAACCCAAGAACAGGAAGATTTTAACCTGAGAGCTGTGAAAGGGAATCTAGTCTGACCAGCTGTGGCAGGTAACATCTGGCTGGCTGTCCAGCTCTGTAAGGATACGCCAGCTCTGTCCGGAAAAGTTATTAAGATTCCTTACCATCTTCCACAACAGCGCTTCCTATCACGTTCTTTTTCAATGACTCCATGAACATGGGTATTATTAAAAGGCTTTTTAAATGAGAAAGGAGCAAGAATGCTAATTTCTAAAACAGGGACTCATTTTTGATTAAAAAAATGGTCAACATAATCTAGAAACACCAACAGGAAGCTTGCAAAACGCCATTGCGCAGCGGCAAGGAACGTTTCCATTTCACACTTCAGCTTCTGGCAAGCTGCTGCTACTACCAAACGACAGAAATGCCTAGCCTCTCTGCAACAAATCAGTGTTCCCACCTATGACAGTGAAAAGCCACATGGTTCCATAAAGCCCCATATTGATCCAAAAATGCTTTTCCCAAGAGAATTAATTTATTTGACTCTAATTAATTTATGCCTGAAAACACACAGATCCACTAAGCTGTAACCGCTGAAGAGAGACTGCCAGGTTAAAAGCTTTCAGAAACAAACCATTTCAACTGCATAGTTAGTAGAAATAATTTAAGTTGAAATGTTTTTAAATTACTTCTTTCACCGACTATAAGCCCTTGTTCCAACTTCCCTCCATTGTGAGACAGGAAAAGGGCAAGTACCTCCCTGGAAGTCTGCGGTAAATATTATGGTCACATTCATACAGCCACAGCCTCAAAACAGCAACGCCCAAAGTCTTTAGTAAGGATTCAAAATCATGGGGGACTATGTGGGTTTATTAATTTTTTTTTTTTTTTTTAAAGAAGCTGCACATAATTACATTGTTTAAAATGGAAACCTTTAACCCAAGACTGTTGCCATTAGCCACCTCCAGCTCTTTTTGCTGAAAGGGATGAGGAGAGCTGTACAGAGATTGTCACACTCCCCTTCTGGTGTGCTCAGTGGTGGATTTTAATGCTAGCTCCTCAGAGTCATTGCCAAGCCCTCTTTTCTTTGGGGTAGCATCTGTTTGTTTTTGGCTTGTTTTTTTTTTCCCCACAGTGTTTAGTGATCCCTCAAACTTGCTCTTCTCTCCTCCAAGTCCCCTGTGGTTACTCCCAGCTCACTGCTCTACACAGCACATTTCCCCAGGCTTCTCTTCCTCCCTTAGAAGGACAATTCTTCCCCAGGTAATGTCTCTGGGAATAGCCTTTTCAGGACTACTCAGTCTTACTAGCCACATCCCCACTGTACCTGAACTGGACAGCCTCAACACCTTTGGGAGACCAGGATACTGCTAAGAGTGTTTTGAGTTCAGCTTACCCAGGCCTGACCTCAGCTCGAGTTCTGGCTCCCTGAGTATCTTATCTGTTACAGCAGACCCTATTGGGGCTCTCTCCTAGAGCAACCTTCAGCCATCCTCTCTACCCAGGGTCACTCCCAGGACAGCACTGCAAGGGAAGACAGGAAGGATGGCAACTGCTGAACTATGCTCAGAGCAGCAGTAAAACCATAGATACCATCTCCAAGCGCCAGGCAAGTTGCCTCAGGTCCAGCCAAGCGTCACAGACAGTGATAGTGCACAAGAGACAGTCCCAGCTCAGGCAACGGGTGGTCTTCTCTATGGCTTTGCCTCAACAGCAGTATTCTCCAGTTGCTTCACTAGTAGCTCTAATAACACAAATTTTGCTGAGCAACAAATATAGCCCATTCTTAGTCTGCCAGGCTTTTTACTTCTAGGAGCAGCTTGGCCATCCTTCTTCTGCCTGCATCTTCTTAGTCATCGTCCTCTAGTTGCAACACATTTCTGGTACCAACAGAGTTGGCCAGCACCAGACCCAGTGATACCAACACTTCTTGCTGCTTCCCTGCACGCCTCTGCGAAAGAAACCTGAAAGAGCCTGCCTTACAGAATTCACCACATTAAAACTCAGCTTTTTTCCTAGTAATAGGCTCTCATTCATACATAATCAAGAAACAGTAACACAAAGCCAATTCTCTGGTCAGCATCCAATAAGCAACATACACCAGACACTTCCTCATAATCAAGCAGAACCAGAACAAAGGCCCGTTCTCTTTTAGCTCAAATCAATATCTGGTCACAATAAAGCTCAGAAAATGTTCACTTTCAGATGTTGTGGGACGTGTAAATCAGGCACAGCTTCACGAAACAGTGTACAGGGGTGAGAATATAGAGACAGTTTATCGGTCTAGAATTCACCTATGGTAAGCAATAGTCAGGAACTGGATCTTGCCTACTCTTCATATTCACAGTCTGGATCTTAAGAGCTTTTCAAGAGACAGACAAACACACAGACAAATTATATGATGTTTTCCTCTCTTTAAGACAAGATTCAGATCTCATGGGGCAGCCAGAGGTAAAATAGTAATCCAACACCTGTTTGATAGCCCTCTTCCTATTTAGATAGGTAATTGGCAAAGAACCCTTAAATCCAAGTACTTCATTTTAGGAGCAGAAGACCGTGTTTTGAAACATCAGCTTCCTTGTCGCCTCAAACAGTATTTTGAGGTATGACTACTGCAGAACACAGAGCAGAAGGCAGAGTCTCTGAAAGCAGAGATGCTCAAGTTTATCAGGGTTTGCTAGCTCCAATTCAGCAGTCCTGCAGGCACATGCTGATTTCCTTCAGACACCCTTGGGTGTGACAGCAAGGTTCAACAAGGCCAAGCGCCAGGTCCTGCACCTGGGTCACCACAACCCCACGCAACGCTCCAGGCTTGGGGTAGAGAGGCTGGAAAGCTGCCTGGTGGAAAAGGACCTGGGGGTGCTGGTCGAGAGCCAGCTGACCATGAGCCAGCAGTGTGCCCAGGTGGCCAAGAAGGCCAACAGCATCCTGGCTTGGATCAGGAATGGTGTGGCCAGCAGGACCAGGGCAGCGATCCTGCCCCTGTGCTGGACACTGGTGAGGCCGCACCTCGAGTGCTGTGCTCAGCTTTGGGCCCCTCACCACAAGCAGGACATGGAGGGGCTGGAGCGTGTCCAGAGCAGGGCAGCGAGGCTGGGGAGGGGGCTGGAGAACCAGTCTGATGGGGAGCAGCTGAGGGAGCTGGGGCTGCTCAGGCTGGAGAAGAGGAGGCTGAGGGGAGACCTTCTCGCTCTCTGCAGCTCCCTGCCAGGAGGGGGGAGTGAGGGGGGCTGGGGTCTTTCAAAACCGTGTGGATGTGGCATTTGAGGACATCGTTTAGTAGGTATGGTGGTGATGGCTTGATGGTTGGACTTGGTGATCTTGGAGGTCTTTTCCAACCTTAATGATTCTACGCTTCCCAGGATGAGCTCAGGCAGAGAGCTACTCAAATGTAGAGTCACCTCAGACTGGTGCCAGAATAATACAACCCCTAGAACACGAAGTGCTAAAGCATACAGTGCTGGCATGCTCACCCTAAAGTCTAATGAAAACCAGAGTAAGATTAGGGGAAACCGCGAGTTTAAGAAAAGTTACCCACCCCAACTGAAGTAACAACACAAAGATGGGCAGCATTTATTTTAAGCATCACTCTTGCTCTGAGTGCTTCCCACTTCTACTGCCTGTAGGCTACATATCTCCCACCACATATCCTCACCACTTCAACCCTGCCCTTCCTCCTTCTCCTACCTCATGACCATAAAACTTGTACTTCTTGGCCAGCCTGACCTTGAGGGAAATCGGCAAGTCCCCCATGTGCTGCATGTAGCCTAGAACAGAGCTGCACTCTTCCAGAGGCTCAAATGTGCAAAACGCCAGCTGGAAACCCCTGTGAGCCTACGAACAAAAGTGCTTCAGCCATGGCTTAGCACAGTAAGGAGGACTTGCTGGTGCACCTAATGCTTTACTGGTGAATCCTAGGCCTCACATGCAGTAGGGTGCTCTCTTACTCCAGGGCCAAGAAAATACATGCAGGCAACAGCTCCATCTTAAGGAATGCAAATTCTAAGTCCCAGTCTGAAAGAGGAAAAAGCAAGTAGTAGAGTACTACTACCTTGAATACTTCTGATACTACATGCAGGGGACCTACTGCACAAGCCACATAGCCTTCCCACAGAGACAGCAAGTCTGAAGCTGCCGCTGGACACCGAGAACACAGCAGCTACATCTACAGCAGTTACACAGGCTGAAGAACATTTGTAAGCAGTGGAAATCATAAGCCCTGGCCACATTTTGGCTGTGACCACTATTACGTTGTTAGCTTATTCCTGGGACCCTTCAGGGACGTTCCCAGCAGGCAGCCTGCATGCAGCTAAGCTGTTGGTGCAGTCACCTACAACCCTTGCCACCAGCTGAGAACAACAGTTCAGTGGTCTGGACAAAACTACAATGTAGGATTCTGCTTTGGTGCAAGAGAACATGCTGGAACGTTTAACTTCCCAGCACGGCTGTGGCTTCACTGCCCAGATTCTGTGCAGGCACAGAACTGCTTGTGCCTTCACAACCATGCTGTTGCAATAGCCTGAAGTTACAGAACACCAGGAGACCAGAAACCTCCAGATTCCTGGGCAGAAAGGTATGTGTGGGGTGGGTGGGAGGCAGAACACAAGGATAAGATTAGAAGGCTTGCAAACTAACCATGGTTCCCAACATTCATTTCCAAAACATTCTAGGTAACTGCAAAATGTGCCCGTGAAGAAGATCCACTACCTCAGGAGGTCCTCTGAAGCCATAACAACTGTACCTGTGAGGATGTTCTTGAAGGCTTCTTCTACGTTTGTTGAATCCAGAGCAGAAGTTTCAATAAAAGATAAGTTATTTTTTTCTGTAATAAATAACAAGTGATTCAGTTAAAAACTTTAATAGCACTTTATTTCACCTTTAGTTTGAGGTTTTCACCTTTATTTTTAGGCCAAATCAGCTGGAGCACAGTCTTTTTAAATTTTTTTTTTCCTCCTAGTGTAACGGGGCAACTTGTTGCACCATTTATGTAGCTGCTAGCATTTCAGCAGTGTCACCTCTGACCACGGCCTTTCCATGGCGTGAGAACGTTTTGCTCACTGCAGCCCTGGTTCAGTCAAGCAAAACAACATTACTGTCAGCTGGCTACAGATCCCCCCTAGCAGTACCCTGAGCAAGAGCACAGGCAAAAGCACGTTGGCTGCTACGGGTGTCAATTCTCCTCTGCAACCCCACAGACCTACGCTTTCCTGATCAGACCCCACCCATAAATCACAATAAAACCCCTAGTAATACAGTCTGTTTTCTTCTTTGCTCTTACGATGCGATATATATTTTTTCATTTAAAAAATAAAAAGATTGTGATTAACACCCAGACATCACACCTAGAATGGCACTGTACCACCTGCCCAGCTTAAACAGCAATACCTGTACCATCACTAGCTATTTCACACAGTCTTAGTAGGAAGCCAGGGGCAAAAAATAAGATGTTGAACCAAGCGACCATGGTAATGTACTATCTAGGTGCCCACTATCTTGTTTTCCTTCCCTTACATAAACTTCGCTTCCCATTCGGCTGAAACTTAAAGTGGTTTTACTAACCACATGGTACTCGCTTACTAGCAAACTTCAGAAAACATGTTGAAGCAAGCCCTAGCGGTATTCCTGGAAGGGTTTTAAAGGCTACACATTTAAATTCCACCCCCAAGCTTGACAGCCACACAAAAGCAAGCTGAATGTCCCTAGGCCTACAAGGCCAAAAGAGCATTTGACCAGTGCTCTCCTCGATCAGGGAGAGAGAGAAGTACTGCAGTGGCGGCAGCGCACACAGCCCACTCGATCCACCCAACGACTGATAATCTCCAAATCTGATGATCACTGCGTTTAGGTGAAACTAGATGACACTATTACACTACTACACACATCAGTGCTCTGGAGCAGCAACTACACCACCTAAGAGAGGGTTCAGCACTCATTGGCAGCTGTCCACTTTGGTATGCACTCAGAAGAACCAGGCCGCTAGGAAGGAAGGAAAGACATTTTGTGCTATTTTGTATTTATGTTGTGACATTTTCTCTTCTAAATGTTGCTTACTGTTTCTAGCCTGGCTAGAGGAAGTGTCTAATCTTCAGCTATCAGGCAGCTCAAGGACAGCATTTCAAAAACATGTACTACCACTAGATTAAAAAAAAACCAAATCCAACCACACCTGCTATTTAACAAGCCAAAATATTTTCATTTAAAAATATATTAAATGCCTGTTTTAGGGTCAAAAATAAAACTTGAGGTGAAAGTTCAGCCCTCGACAACAACAGCACGATTACAGCTTGCACCAATATCCCGTTCAGAAAGCGCCAACACAAACCTGCAAAAGCCCGGGCCTCGTCAGTGGGCACAGCTCTCAGGTGGCGGAGGTCGCTCTTGTTACCCACCAGCATGATGACGATGTTGTTGTCTGCGTGGTCTCTGAGCTCCTTTAGCCAACGCTCCACGTTCTCATAGGTGAGATGTTTGGCAATGTCGTAGACAAGCAGAGCCCCGACGGCACCGCGGTAATATCTGAAACCATACGGCACGTTCCTTCAGAGAGCTCTGTCCGCGTCGCACCAACAAACCTGGAATCCGGCTCTTCCACACCGGTTACTACCACAAAGCTAAAAACGTCTCTCCCGCTTTGGAAAAAGTTCTGCTGATGCAAATACTGTCGTTGGGGTTTTTTTTAAGCCTAAAAGCAAGTTCCAAATGCTGGGACTTTTTAATGGCATTCCTAAAAAATTCCTGTGTATGTAACGAAATGCTGCAGAGACTACAGAAGCCGTGACACTTTTAGCCTGCTAGAACAGCGTGCAGGAAAACTCACAATGCATCAGTAGTGCTACAAGGTTTTTGTGAAATTATAACTTATCTTTCTGCTGGGAAAATAGTCCTTCACAAAATGTCAGTATTTGTTGCTGACCTTTCAAATACCTCCCACCCCTCTTACAAACTAAAGAGGGGGACTCTGGGCTATACTGACACTGATCCACACGCCCATAACCTGAGCATAGAGTTTGCTCCCTCAGTGCAGGCGTGGGCCCATTTCAACTCGAGCCAAGGGCTCAGGACAGCACAAGGCCATCTGTATCAGCAACCCTGTAACATCCATATTTCTCTTCCACACAATCCGACCACTTCTCCTCTGCTCCGCCAGCACCTGTCTGACACGCCGTCGAACTGACTCAGGGCACCAAGTCAGCAGAAAACATCCCCTTCTCACTGCTGGTTGGTGCTCTGCTGGCTTAGCAAGCTGAACTGGCCTAGCCATGTGTCAAGCAGGAGCTCGTGCCAGCAGAAAGGAGAGGCAGGATCACAGGACTACAGATGCACCGATTCTCATCGGCCAACTCTGTTGCTGAACCAGACTCCACCAGCACTTCTTCTGCTAAGCTTTCGCAGCAGTAGGAACAATTTCAGGGTCACCCAAAAACTTCTGTAAAACACGCTAACAGTTACGGAAAAGATGCAATTTGAAATCGCCACTTACATCTGCTCCTGCATTACTTTGTTTCTGCATTCCTTCCCTATGGATCATTCCCTCTGGGCTCCACATTCTTCTGTTTTTCCCCCATCTATTCTACTTCACCCTATTTCACTTCAGTGAAAAGAGTTCCCCTTACCTTGAGTTTACTACAAATGGCTCAATCTGTTCATGATTCAGAAACAAGTTGGTACCTTTAAAAACTGATATACATCTGTAACACTAAAAAATTTCAACTTCCTGATCAGAATATGCCCTGAATAACTAGACCTGCCAGTAGGGATGATGGGGTCCGTCCGTCCCCCCGAAAAAAAAATATACTTTTGCCTACTGCCTCCATAGAAACAAATAAACCAGAGGTTACATCTCAAGATGCTGTCTGGACTAACAAGGTGCCATACATGAAAGCTTCTCAACTCCACTGTTATAAATAGGGATGTGCCTAATGCTACAGAGTCAGCATTAGCCCAGTTGCCTTCCTACTTATTGGTTATTCAGCATGCACTCTTGGACCTAATTTTCAAGGCTGTGACTAACTCTAAGTCACTGAGATTTCAAGGGAGTTTGTGGCTGCAGACTGTCCTAAAAATACCCTCAATCTCAAGACCGAGGGGTGAGTGAAGACCAGAAGCCACTGGCGTTATGGTAAGCTACCATGCCTAGACCAAAACTTGATGCCAAACAGTATCCAGCGTCCATCAGGAATGATACTCATTCCACGTGATGAAGACAGCACGTCCAGGGCAGATCTAAAAACCCAAATCACAAGACTCCAACAGAATTTCCCACACTTTTGATTTAAGCCTTCACTTTTTACATAATGGTATCATTAGAATCTAAAAATTAGTTTCATTATATTAATCAAGGAACACAAAAGTATTTGCTGTCTTATGACTTGGATACACACTGAAGTCTGTCGTAATGATTTTTGTCACATGTCCCCAGTCTGTTTCATTAATTCTCTACCCATAAATTCACTGGTACCATCCCCACCGGAATTCTGCTGTTAGCCTGAGCAAAGACACGGTACTCACGCTGAGGTAATGGCACGGTATCGTTCCTGTCCTGCAGTATCCCAGATCTGTGCTTTTATCGTCTTCCCGTCCACCTGGATGCTCCTGGTGGCAAATTCCACCCCAATGGTGCTCTTACTCTCCAGGTTGAACTCATTGCGTGTGAAACGTGACAGAAGATTACTCTTCCCAACTCCAGAGTCTCCAATCAACACAACTGAAATAAAAGACATTATTTTTGAAATTCATTCTTCGCACCAGCAGTTACACAGCGCAGCGGTGCGCCCTGGCTGCTGTGCTGCCTTGCAGGCAGGACCCAGCGGAGCTGCGCAGCCAGACCGACGCAGGAGACCAACGCTGACGGCACCTCAGACCTTACCACTCGCAGCTTGCTCCCCCAGCCCCAAAACAGCCCCGAGCCGTTTTGTTGCTAGCAGCTGCTCAGTTCCTCAAGAGATGGAAATAAGAAATTGCTACAGCAACTGTCAACAGCTGAACACTGCTTTGGAGGCCCCAAGCCAGCACCAGTAACCAGAGGTAACCAGACGTCCCTTGCATGCTCGACCTTTTAAGGCTGCAGCCAACATTTTAAGAAACACTACAGTCAAGCACACGGCAACAGGCTACCTGTCTGCCTGACACAGGCCTGTGTACAGCATAAGCCTACTCTATTTTTATTTTTTTAAAATAAACAACAATACAGTAAGTAAACAATTATTTGCAGTCCCTTTTGGGGTCATACACGGTGTTTCATTTCAAGAATTCATAAATATGTTCACCACAAAGGGGAAAAGAGGCATTTGATACTACAAACAAGATGCAAAGCAAAGCAGAACTTCATCCAGCAAACGAGTTTCAGTAGGTTGCAGGAGAAGTAAAAGCTGAGTTAAAAATCTCTGCCTCCACACGAGGTGTTGCCATGTTAACAGAAAAATTCTAGCACAGAGCGATCTCTAGCACACAAACCCCGGCTTTACTGAAAGGAATTGTGAACACTCCAGGTACAACGCCTCGTAGCAGGCGTCTCCTCCCGCGCCGGGGCCGAAGCTCTCCGCCGATCCCGAGGAACACCTCCGCCAGCCCTGCTCGCACAGGCTGCTGCTTCACACCCGGCCACGCCAGACTGGGCTCCCCACCAGACCTCCTCATCCACAACTCCAACGGCAAGACTTGTCACGCCAGGTGCTCTACTACGCAGCTAACGCACCTGCACACATTTTCTTAAATCCCTGTAGGAGTGACCAGAGCAAGAACAAACCAGAAGGAAACAAGATGAAAAGCAATTAAGCCATTAATTAAGTCTCGGCAAATCCTGTATCGTACATGACTTTGGTATTCAATCTAACAGCGTCCTGGCTTGAGCAGAAGGAACGCACGCAGCCTCAGCGAGGTTTCTTCAACCCTGGGAATATTTCCTACTTCATTTTAAAGTACAGATTTGTTGATCTTCCTCACTCATACGACCTGTTTTTCC